AGTTCTTTGCCCACTGCCCTATTGGTGAGCCTAGGTGCGCCTCCCACGCAAATGATTGGCCCCAGAATCCTTTTCAGGGCGTGATTCTGGGGGAACTAGCACCAAGATAATGTGCTCTCTGGCTGCCGTGTGAACTCAGGAGACCCTGTTTAAAGACCCTGCTGCTGCTGCGGTTTCTAATTTAACGACCTGACACATTGCATCAGCTTCTTCCTAGAGTCAGTTAGTTCATCTTCCAGTGAACTGGTGTAGCCTCCCCCGGCAGGGAAGGGTGCGCTCACCGTCCAGCTTGTAGCCTCACGTGAATACGTTTGCCCCAAATCAGCCACTCTGCATTTATCCTCCATAACACGAAAGCCCAGTGCGTACTGGCTTTTATTAGCTTGTACTCTTATGGCATTTATTGGGTAAGTGTGCTTGCATCAGTATTGCATGACTTTAAAAGATTGTCTTGTGAACAAGACAAAAGTGTCCTAAAGGGCAGATTTTCTTTTCTATTTTTTTTAAGTTGATGAATGTATTTATTTCTCTGAAACAATCACTGGGCCAATCCCACTCATCCCCTTTATGATGACCATCGCTCACTGCTCACCGCTGTACCAGTCTGAACTGGAGACATGGGACATGAGAGGCAGAGACATGAGAAAGAACCCAACACAGACTAGATGTATTTTCCTTTTTTGTTCTCCTTTTTTCCTTACTCAGTTTATTGGGAGCTCTTAGAGCTCTTATAACATTTCATACATCAATTGTATTAAGTATATTTGTACCTATGTTGCCATCATCATTTTCTAAACATTTACTTTCTATTGGGGCCCTTGGTATCAGCTCCCCCCCCACTTGTAATGCTCTTAATAAATTATAAATTATTGTTTTCATATCTTACACCAACTGCTCTCTCTTCACCCACGTTTCTGTTGTTCATCCCCCTGGGGAGGGGGAGTAGGCATCGTTGATCATTGTGATCAGTTCCCCCTTCCTCCCCTCCTGGTATCGCTACTCCCATTTCTCTTCCTGAGGGGTTTATCTGACCTGGACTCCGTGTGTCCTGAGCTCTCATCTGTGCCTGTGTCCATGACTAGCCGGAACGGAAAAGCAGGACTGGGGTCACAATAGTGGGGGTGAGGAAGCTTCAAAGAACCTGAGGAGTATTGTATGTTTCATCGGTGCTATACTGCACCCTGGTTGACACATAAGGGGCAGCTTTTCACAGTAACTGCTGGGAAGTTTGATTCTAAATAGAAGCCCAATTCACTATGACAGAACCAACCTTATTTTTTCCAAGAACAGTCCAGGCAGTCCGATAATATGTGGTCAAACGTTGGCGAAACATAAGCTGGCCTGAAGCCTCGTCTCCTTTAGTTACTGATTCCAGGAGTGAAATGCTAGGTGTTTCCAGAGATGGTGGAGAGCAGGGATGAGGACCCTTCAAGTTAAGTAATTTTCAGCATTCTGGGCCCCCTTAACTCTCTTGCAAACCATTTACACCCAAGCCCTGTGTTTTGGAATGAGCCCTGCTCTGGGATCAGCCTATAAAGGAGTGTGTTCATCAACCCCAACCTGAGCAAGCGTTTTGCCCTCCTCGGCTATTTGGCTATTTCACTGGCAAGAACCCTGGTCTTCGTCTCTTTTTGAAAGGTTTTGTCACCGAAGCTGTTGCTTTGTTGTGTCTTTTGTGAATCCCTTACATTAGTGCATACATCCGAAGGTGGATTGCTGGCTTAGGGGACTTATATGAAACATTCAAGAGCCCACCTTAGTCTTTAATCAGCAGTGAATGCTCTGAGATCATTCCTGAGGGCTCCGGGCCAGCGTCACATTCGGAAAGGGCTGTGGCTGCCTCTCTGTGCATTTCGACGGACTTACTTGCCCTCTGCCCATTCACCAGTAAAAAGAAAGAAAGAAATTGTGTGGTACTCTACTATTTGCCACCTAATAATTTAGAAAAGCCTCCCCTATGAATTGATTAAAGTATTATATGGAGGGAAGATTTTAAATGGGCTTTGAGTAAATCTGCTAACCCACATAAATCCATCCATTACATTTGAATGGACTTTCTTTGAAGTAGGTCATTCTGTAAAATGACGAGGGCCTTAATCTGGTGTGTGGTTTAAACATGTTTTGTAAGATAATTTCGCCTAGCAACCTGCTGGGGTATTGGTTTGGACCTGATGCAAAAGGAGGCAGCGATGAATAAGCACAAAAGCCCTTGTTTAGTTCCCCTGAATTTGCTTTGGGAAAAAAGTGTTAAATGCTTGTTTGTTTAATAATGTCGAGTGAGTCTTAGACTGAAGGTGTGAGGTTTCTTTATTATTCTAGACTAGCCACTGAGCACCAACACTGGATTTAGGCAACTAGTTGAGAGCACGTACTATACTTTCCTGAATCCTCTCTTTCATCTCCAATCTCCCATCATCTTGTTGATTTTTGCCTGACTATGACTCACCTCTTTCCTCTTTTTCCTGCTTAGATTCCTCCAGGCCTAAGTTGTCATCACCTCTTCCATGTCACTAATACCTCCCAGGTGGCCTCTTGAACTTAGATCTCAATATTCCACGTCTGCCTCCATTTCTGGGCTCACCTTCATAAAGCATGTTTCAGCTTACCATGCACCTTCCGATGTCCTCCGCCTGACGTTCAAGGCTCTCCACATCCTTGCCCATGAACCCTGGCATATTTGCTTTCCACTACTCCACATGTTATTGCTCCCCAGCCGTACGCATCCCAGGGCTCATGGGTCAGACCCTGTAGGCTGTGCACTGCCAAGTGCCAAAGGGCACCGCTCCCAGAAATTGTTACCCAAACAACAGCCCTGGCATTGTGCCATGCACCCCTGGACTCTTTTCTTTCCGTAATTTTGTTCTTCCCCATTCCCGATCAAGATCCTTCTCATCCTTCAAAGTGCAGCTCGGCCATGAGGTCTTCCTCGATGATGGCAACTGCAATGATGATCTGTAAGTCTTACAAACTCGCAACCGAGTTCCTAATAAGAACGCCCCTGTAGCAGAGGGCCTGGGGGCCTTGTGGTCGTCTTTCCGTCTCCATCGAACACGGGAGGGCTTAGTGACTATGTCATTGCTTGCTCTTTTTCCAAGTGTGCCTGCTTTTGACCCTCCAAACTAGCTTCTAAGCTGCTGGAAGGAATGGATCTTCCCATCGACATGCATAGCCACGGTGCTACTGAGCACAGGACGGCTGCTCTGTGGAGACTGATTGTTTGATTCTTAGACATGATACATGACTAGACCATGGAAGAAGAAAACAAAACACTAACCATTGATGCCTATGACTCTCTAGGCAAAACCAGCATGAGATCTAGTTTAAGTCCAAATATATCTAATGTGAACCAAAGGTGTGTCTTCAGGCAGATAAGGCCCCATTCCAGGAAGCTTTCCAGTTTTCCCAGGGAGAAGGAAGAAGTAATCATTGTTTAACCAGCCATCATAAAGTAGATTTTGAGCAAGGCCCTTCAATTATTTAGAGCGTTGAGTAGCTACGGAAGGTTGTTAATATAGAAACCAAAAGGCAGAAAAGCCTGAAAAGCAACGTCTCTGCCTTCTTGTCAGGGGTTGAGATTTTATGACAATGATTTGTTGTCATGGCAGAAAATTATTTTAAATACACATCCAAGAGTAACTACGAGGCGTCATAAATTCTCTAGTAAGTGCTCCCGAAAAACCCAGCCACACAACGCTGCTGCCATCCCATCTGTCTTTCTCTTCCCCCGGAGGCTCCGTGCCGCTGGGAGAGACAACCAAACGCAAGACTGAAATGCAAAGGGAGAGTTGCCTCTCCTGTAAACGCCTTATTTTGGCTCATTCTCCTACCTAACCGATCTTGTGCCGATTGTCACTTCATCTTCAGGGCGTGTTTAGGGTCGGTAGAGTGCTGGGTTTCCATTTGTTTTGCGCCTTCCCAGGCTGACTCCCTGGAGGTCCCTCTCTCTGCCAGCAGATGTGGGTCCACTGCACCAAGACCAGCACAGAGCATTCACCTTTTCTCAGTTTCAAGTTTATTTCTTTGTGTGTATGGGGGTGTTGGTGGAGGTGCTATCTTAGGTGTCCCCTAAGATAAAGGGCATGCATTTGAACTGCAGTTGAGTTCACAGTCAATGCCTCTGAGTTTAAACGGGATCCCTCACATCTGTCTTTGCTTTGGGTCTCCCTGTGTCTCGCTGTACATGCACACACTTAGGAAGTTTGCCTCCACCCAAATGTCTTAGAAGATTCGAGGCTTAGATTCCCTACTGTGCAAATCTGATGATGATGACGTCTCTTTCTGCCAGAAAAGTGTACACACATTTCATTTTGCATATGATTTAAGGAGGTTCTCAGATGAAAGAGAGTAATGAACCTCGTCTGGATACTGCTGGATCTGCCAGCACTATTCTAAGTGCCTTATGTTTCGTGACGTCCTCCTGGTTGTCAGGTGCCATGGAGTCAGTTCTGACTCACAGAGCACCCCTAGGAACAACAGGACGAAACACTGCCTCGCTCCACCTGTCCCCCCAGCAATGGGTACCACTGAGCCCATGGTTTTCCACGGGCCATCCCTCCTCCAGGGGCTGCTGCTTTGTCACCGATCCTCTACCAAGCGCGATGCCCTTCTCTGGGGACTGTTCCTTCCTGATAATGTGTCCAGAGTCAGTGAGACTAAGTCTCACCATCCTTGCTTTGATGACTCATTTACTTATCATAATCCTATGAGGTCGGGCCTACTTGTACCCGTTTTACAAACGAGGGCACTGAGGCCAAAGCTGTGGCCTGCCTCACTTCTCATGATTCCCAAACAGCTGAGGCAGGATTTGAACCGGGTCAGTTAGCCAGAGAGACCGCCATCTGGTAGAGCTGTTCTTAAGGTTTCCTGGATTAGAAACCATGAGGAGATATGATAAGAAGGTAACTTATTCATATAAACATTTAATGTTCCAAGTCTCATATAATTTCATGAATTTTAAATTCACATTATCTTTTCTTCTAATGCCTACACTGAAAATAAAGATCTACAAAGCATCTTGTCCAGATACTTGGAGGAAAACAATAAAAGCTTTATGAATATTAAGTGTCCGAATCTCCTAGGTAAGTAAATATGAAATTCCGTGGCTACTGGGTGTTATAAATGGTATCTGAGAGAACGTTTCAAATCAGTATTTTTAAAAAGTGAAACATTATCAGTTGTGATCTGAAATTGTAAAATTACAGTTTATCTGTTTTGCCTACTATGCAGAGAACCAACTCATATGCAAAGAGGAAGTTACAGAATGTTTCGAAGGATCGAATGACATCAGTCCACAGGATGTTCGCAGCCAAAGAGCAGTCAAAGATGACAGGTTTGTGCATTGCCCCAGTGAGCTTGTACCCAAACGGGATTGACTGGAGAACGGAGTCCGATTCCATCCTCCTTGACAAGGTCTTGACATTTCAACAGTGACTCCGTGACTAACAGCTTCACTCACTGCTAAGTAAATAGACTTAAAAGAGCACCTGTAGATAAAAGATTCCGCTCACGGCTCTGTTAATGGCGGCTATGAATTATCATCGCTTCAAGTGTCTCCTCCTCTAGCACTCCCTCCTAAGGGATAAGGTCAAAAGGAGAAAAGAGATGAGTGTGGCATGGAATATATATATATATATATATATATATTTTTTTTTTTTTTAACATGGAATATTTTTAAGAGAGCTGTTCATTTCTGCTCTGATCCATATCAACCCCTTTCAGTATGCTTATTTAGCAATAATGCACTGGTATAAGCTTTAGTGATTATTTTTACATGGACTTGCTAAAAAGTTGTAAAACAGATAAATTTATGGGATCGCACCCAAAAACATTCAAAACATTTGTGCGCTTATAAAAATGCATGCAAATCTCCACCCAGTAGACGCGCGTGCATATGTGTGTGAGGGGGTGGTGTGCGTTTTAAATACTCACTGTGGAATTTTTTCACTTAAGGTCGATTCTGAATACAGGCAAGATGATATTCAGCGAAAACAACTGAGACCTAGGGCTTGATAGCTAAACCGGTAACCATCAAGTCCGTCCGACTCCTGGTGAGTGGCCCCATGCTGCAACGCGGAACTCACTGTGCTCTGGAGGGTGTATGAGGCTGTGCCCTTCTGGAGACTGCCCTTTCCTGAGGGGCCTCGCCCAAGAGAAAGCCAACCCCTGCTCACTTGCAGGGACCCTGCAGGACAGAGCACAGGCTGCCACTGTGTTTTCCAAGGCTGTGAATGTTTACCAGAGCTGGAGCCTCATCTTCTTCTCTTGGAGCAACTGGTGAGCTTAAGCTGCTGACCTTGTGGCTTGAAGCCCAACACAAGCCACGACAGCACCAGAGCGCCTTAAGGTCCTTTGGGGTAGGTTCACACGGCCACCTTTTCTATGAGTAGTCCAGTGTTTAACCATTTGCGCCATGTTTGAGAATAGTGAGGGAGGGAGGGGGACAGACGGAGGGAGGGAGGGAGGGAGAGAGAGAAACCAACCAACCTTGGCTGGTGCAAATGGTTAGCATGCTCAGTAGTTAACCAGAAGGCTGGTTGTTTGAGCCCACCAGGGAGCTTCAGAAGAAAGGCACTGGTGACCTGCTTTGCCAGTACATACTTCACTAGCTACCGAAAGCCCGGGGAGCAAAGTTCTGTGCTGACACAGGGGCCACCGTGAGCTGGGCTTGACTTGATGGCCACTGGTTCAGACATAGCTCTATAAAATTTGCAGGGTGTTTGCATAAGCATGATTTACCTTAGCCTTTATAGCCACCCTGTGGATTGGGCTTTATTATCTCTGTTTTATATAGCAATGATAAAACCAGCTGAAAGAGGTGAAGCCATCTTGGCTAAGGTCATGTAGCTAATAAACCATGAAAATGAGACTCGACTCAGGTTGTTTGACTCTGTGTTCAGTGTTCATTCTGCTGCCTCATAACTGTATGTAGAGTATAAAGGATGGTGAGGTTATATTTTGATGGTTGGCACCAAAGAAGGTACTTCAGGAATAACCTGTTTGTAGACGCGGGGTTAACAGAGAGAAGGGAGTATTGGGGGGAAATACATTGCTGAGAATCACACAGAGACGGCTGTTTGTTTGTTAGGTCATGCAGCTGCCTGGGGCTAAGAATTAATGATCAACAACCGTCCCTACCACAGAGAGTGGGAGGTTAGGTTTTCCCTATATAATTCAGTCTTCCAAACACACAGCCGGGGTCCGTATGACAGTGCAGAATAGAGCACACAGACAGAGGGACCACATACCTGGAAGATGAAACACTCGGCTCAAACCCAGATCCCACGATTCCAAAGTCTCTCTGTCTCACTGCCTCGGCGTCTCAATGGAAGTCACTAGCTCTCTGTCAGGGTTGAAGTGCCGCGAGGCCAGGAAGGAGCTGGGCAATGGGCGAGGCAGAAACGGTTTTAACCTGTTCAGGTCTTCCTCTTTTTTTTTTTAATGAACAGAGAGAAATCTCTCTCTGGCCATGCCTTATAAAAACTGTTCTCAATTAAGAAAAAAAATGAGAACTCCTTTACATTCTTAGAATACTGAGGCCCTCAGAGGGCTTTAGTTTATGTGGGTTATATCTATTGATGTATATCAAATCTTAATCCAAGAAATTTCAAAGTGCTCATGTAAGGAGCGCTCAACGAGTTCAGCCGCTAACCGAAGAGTCAGCGGTTTGCAGCCCCAGGGTTTCTGTCGAAGAAAAGAGCCTGGTCGCCTGCCTCCATGCAGATGAGTCTGGGGGGCAGTTCTACGCTCTTCCGCTGGGCCATTATGAGACGGAATACATTTGACCACACCTACAAGCAACATTTCGTTCTTTAATAATAATCAGTCAATTACATGTTATCAACACTGTTTTGATGAAAGATGCCTTTTCCAAAAACCACCGCCACGGTACACAGTTTTTTAGCAGAATGGCACTGTTGTATGTTTTAGTCCCGTGCTTTATAGAAGCAGCTGGATTCTAACATCTGCTCCTGTCCTGGTGACGAGCTGGGCTGGAACCCACATGGTCAGCAGTTGGGACCCACCAGCTGCTCTACCAGAGAGAGAGGAGGCTTTCTGCACTCGTACAGACCGACTGTCTTGGAATCCCACAGAGGTAGTTCCGCTCTGTCCTACAGGGGCAGGGACGGACTCGGTGGCAGCGAGTTTGATTGGAGGTATAGCTTGTGGAAAACAACAATGTATGTGCTTGAGAGAATGAGCTCAAATAGCTCAAAGGACATTTCAGTGTTATAAGAAAACGGTCTAGGCCTGCGGAGTCCCTGGGACATTTTTGAGGAAAGGCCAGAGGTCCCCAGAACACACAATGACACTTGGAGGACCGTTGCCTGTCACACTGGGCACAGTAAAAGGACCAAGTCTCTCGGCTGCAGGGAATAGTATTGGGCCACGCGTCCAGTCATCCACCGTATGACACAGTCTCCCTGAGTTTGGTTGACTGGGTACCTGATAGTATGGTGCGTTATGTGTTGCGCTGCTAACTGCAGGGCCAGCAGTTTGAACCCTCCAGCTACTTGGAGAGAGAGAGATGACACTGTCTCTTCCCATCCCAGTTGACAGCCTTGGAGACGCTTCAGGAGCGCATCTGCTCTGTCCTACAGGGTCACTGTGAGTCAGAAAGAACTGGACGGCAGTTCATTTGTGCACTTGGCGTTATGTTCCACGCTAGGGGCGAATACCCATGGTGAAATGAGTTCTGCCCCAAAGGGGTTTCGACAACCTCACACAGGTCAGTGGTACCAGGTCTCAGTTGGCATGGAGTGGGCTCTGTGGTGCTGTGTCAGATTAGAACCGAGCTCGGTAGGGCTCTCACCTGCTGGTTTTTGAGGGAGGTTGCCAGGCCTTTTGTCTGAGTGACCTTTGAGGGACCTCCAATCACCAATGGTTCATTTAGCACCTGAGCCCCTTAACTATTTGCACTACTCAGGGAAGCCAGGCCATGCAAACATCTAATTCAAATACAACAGAGAGGGATCGGAGATGTGGGAAGAGGAGAAAATAGTTCGAGGGGCATCCTGAGGTCTAGCAGAGGAAGAGTTAATCCTGAACAGGAAGCGCAGAGGCAGCTCCCAGGAGAAGGTATTGTATGATCCGTGTCAGAATGAGTAGGTGTCCTGAGCACAGAGGGGGATTGAGGGGTTTCCAAAGCATGGGTGTGCTTTCCCTGGAAGAGAGCAGGTGTGGTCTTCTTGCTTGTGGTGAAGTTATTTTCATATTGCCTTCTTTCTCTGTCTTCTTTGGGCATGAGGTCACCCTGCTCTGATGTGGTAGTTACATAATCCGGTGTCAATCTGAGACTGTTCAGAGCAAAGGGGTGGAGTCTAGCCTGTCAATCCGTTCGCAGCTTGATGACCTCATTTGAAGGTGCTACTGAGATAAATAGCTCACTGGTGGCCAGACCCAGACACTCTGCTTGGCATTTATCTCTCTCTCTCTCTCTCTCTCTCTCTCTCTCTCTCTCTCTCTCTCTCTCTC